TCCACTTTAAATTTACAATAGCCTCTTTGGTTCTATGCAATTACTGACTTCTGAATGTGCTACTTTCTGTACTTGGTCATTAAGTTACATAGCAGGATTTATCTTGTACAGATGATCTTCTAAGCTCTATAATGATCATGCTCTATTATCCCAGGAGATGCTTCTTCAACCAGCTATGCACCTTTCAGGAACTCAGGGACATTGACCACTCCAGTGAATCTACTGTTTCTCGTCCCCACTGGGAGAGCCCACTGAGGTCCAGTTTATGACATGGTCCAGCTCACTGGTGCTGTCCCTTGCCTCCATAGACCCATTTACATGCTCTGTTCTCAAGGGTGGACTTGAAAACTAATAAAATTATCCATCTCCTCATGTTCGACATTCACAGTGATGCAATCTATGAACTGTGTGCTCCCATGTGATATGATGCATATGCATATGTCCTTGTGGTCTTATTACCCCAAATCTTACAAATTTACTCTAATCATGAGGGAAAAATCAGGCATATCTGAACCAAGGGAACTCTACAAAATACCTAACCATTATTCCTCCAAACTGTCAAATTTATATATATAAGGGAAGTCTGAGAATCTTTCACAGTCTCAAGCCTGAAAAGATAACTAAACGTGATGTAGACAGAAAGATATTTACAGACACTTAGAAGGAGCATAGAGATGACGGATCTGAGTTATAATAATAGATCAACATTGGCTCATCGATAGAAAGATTTTGCCACACAAAGGTAAGTTACTAATGATAGGGGAAGCTGGCCAGGGGTAAATCTAAACACTGTTTATAAAATGCAGTCTATTTAGAATACAACCCCATCTCTCTGCAGAGAAGGGTACACATGACCTTGACTAGGCCTTTTGGAAGGGCATCATCTAGGGCAGGGGCTCAAGGAAGGGGAGTTCTCAGATCTTGCAGCATTCACTCTGACCAGACCTGTCATTCTGGATCTATACTTGTGGGCTCCAGTCCCTCACATTCCACTCCCATCTTAGCCTGGAGACTATGGCCTGCAGGGACACCTATTTACTTTCAGTTGGGTAATTGCTCCCTGAGAGCTGCTTATGGCGGCACCCTAAGATCCTCAGCAACCTCAGAGTCCACCCCAAGGGAATGGACTACATATAATTATAGGTCATCAGCAACAAAGGAGACATGGAAGACAAGACAGGCTCTCGGTTTTTGGCTACATCACTAGTTTTTGTGAAATGTGGACATCTCCAGTTTACATGGGATGAGTTAGGGCCAGTCCCTCCATTGCTGTGAGTCACTTTGTCCCTTAACCCTTCCTTTCTTTCAGATTACCTATCTATGTCTTTGGGTGGGTGTTTTTCAAGAGAGATTTGTTTTTATCGTGACCTATTTTAACATGGAAAAAAGTGTTACTGACATCATGTTGCCCACTTCTTTCATGATTTCAGTTTGAAATTGCAAACACCCAGGGCCTCCACAGGTTTTCTCTGGTCTCTGCCTGAGCTGTTGATCAGTATGAGCAGATGCCAAACCCTATCGTTTGGCTTTTGAGGCAGATCAGGATCTTCAAAATAGGCAGGGTGGTTTCCTGTGAATCTGGTGCAAGGCTCTGAGCACAGAGCCACCTGCAGACCAAGGAAATGCAGCCTGGTGGGGATTAGGGGCTCAGAAGCTGCAACCAGAGGGGGCTCTGGGTAATCTTGCTGGCTCAGCATAGACCTTGGCCATTTGCTGAGAAGCCATATATATGGTGTAGGTGCTGGACAGGGCCAGCAGGGACTTGCAGTAATACTCACTCACTAATCCTCAGGTCTACAGAGATGAGCCCCTCATCCTTGAGGGTTTATGTGTGCCTCAGCTCTTTTGTAAGTAGGTGGCTCAGCATTGTTTTAAGAGAGAGGGTAAAAGCCACCACAGGAAGAGCTGTCAAATCCCAGAACAGCTCTGTTTTCCAACCTTCACCAGTAGGCAGGCAAGGCCCCAACCTCTCTGTAAATTAGTAATGTCTGTTCAGGTGAGAGGAGACAGGCTTCCTTGTTTAGGACATACCAATGTTGACATGCACTCATAGATCATGTGAGTGTCCAAGGAAGTTTATGGAGCCTCCAGTCTCCTACTTCTATGAGGATGACTGGGCTGGGCATAAGATAGTAGTGCATTTTGCACTAATGTTATTTATAGTATTTATTTATTGAACCCAGGTCCTCACACAAGATAGGCAAGCACTGCACTGCTGAGCTACATCCCTAGTCCATTTTGTTTCTTTATTTTGTGGTAGGTCTAAGTTGCTCACACTGGCCTTAAACTCCCTATCTCTTGCTTTAGATACCTAAGTAGCTGGGATTATAGGCATGTACCACAACTCCCAGCTTGTTCATGCAATAATAGACATTCCGACAGGTGTAACATGACAGCTGACTGTGGCTTTAATTTGCCTTTCCCTAATTATTAGTACTATTGAGCATTTTCCCATACATATGTTAGCCATTTTTATGTCTTCTTTTGAGAAATATCCATTCAGGCCCTTTGTCCAATTTGTAATTAGACTATTTGTTTTCTTTATATAGACTTGTTTGATTTCATTATATCAGATGTATGGCTTGCAAATAGTTTCTTCAATCAGTAGCTTATCTCTTTTTCTTGGTTAATAGTTTCCTTTGTTTTTCAGAAGAATTTTATTTTGATCAATCAAATTTGTCTACTTTTGCTTTTGCTGCCTTTGCTTTGGGGTTTATATCTAAAAACAAATGTTGTTGTCCAGACCAATGTTACTCTGTTTCTCCTTGCTGTATTTTCTATCAGTTTCATAGTTTCAGGTCTTATGTTTAAGTGTTTAACCCATATTCAATGCATTTTTACATATGGTGTGAGGTGAGGGTTCAATTTCCTTCTTACATGAGAAGATGTGTATATCCAGTCTTAACACCATTTATCAAAGATATTTCCAGTACTGTCCTCTTCCTAATAATGTGTACTTCTGTTTCTGGCCTTTTTCTATGTCTTCTCCTCTATAAATAAGTAAAGTCTTTCAATGGTGCTCAATAATTCCGGTCATCTTTATTCTTTTTTTTCTTTTGCTCTTCTTTTTGGATAATCTTAAATATTGTATCTTCAAGTTCACAGAATCTTTTGTTAGCTGGGTTGAATCTGCTGTTGAAGCTTTCTATTGTTTGACTAGAGTGTACTCTTCATCTTCAGGATTGCTATTTTATTTTATTGTCTCTATTTCTTTGTCAAGTTTCTTGCTTTGTTTGTGTATTGCTTTCCAAATTACATTTAATATTTTATTCATGAATTCTCATAGTCCACTGCACTTTAAGAGAATTACTCTGAATTCTTTGCCTGTCATTTCATAGGTTATTTTCCTTTAGGGTCTATTGTTACTTTGTTAGCTCCTTTTGGAAGAGTCATGATTTCTTGAATCCTTGCAAAACTGCTGAACTTTTCTTGGTATCCAGAATTTGAGGAGACAGTAACCTTCTCCAGCCAACAGTGTCCTTTATCCCATTGGTATTCAGTCCTGATCCCTGGAGACAAAGCTTTCCTTCGGCCACTCTGGAGGGCTGCATGTCTCCTGTGCAGTCACTCTGTGCACACTGTGCTCTGTCAAGAGCTTCTTGGGGCTCTACTTTGCTTTGCTTCTGCTTGGCCCAGGGTGCATACCCTGCCCTGACAGTTTCTGTACTCATGAGATAAGGCCAGGGCGGGCTTCTGGGGAAGGGTCTTGGAATCCCAGAAGATGAGCATCTGCCTCTAGTTGTTCCTTCCCTCTGTCAATGCTGTGGTTTGGGTGAGGCTGCTCTGTGCTCCTGGCTGACTTCAGAGGCAGGAGATGACACAGTCACTTGGAGAATGCTCCTCCTACCCTTTCCATGCAGTTTTGATTCCACTGGAAAGGTCATACATGTGACCTCATTATTCTCAATCTTTCTTGGACAGTATTTGCCTGGTAATTCTTCCTCATCTGTTCTTCCACATAAACTGTAAAATCAACTTACTTCGTTTCAGAAAAGAAGAAACTGACGGAGTTGGCCCTGAGGTGGTGCTAAAGGTGCAGACAGAGGCGTGCAGGCCTGCCCTAATGTTTATTGCTCTGATTGCTCCTTGGACTGAGCTGGCCCCGTCCTGTCCTAGTGGGTCTGGGTGAACAGAGATGGGTGATGGCACAAGCATATGAGTTGTATATAGGGTGTATAGGCTTGGGAGATAGGTGGTACATTGGCTGGAAGATTTGGAGGCTGGTCTGAGGCTGAGTACAGTCCCATCTTGCTGTCCCCAGCCCTAGCATAGCTTGACACCCACTGAGGGACAACTTTCATTTGGCCCAGGGGAAAGGGATGACCTCATTCCCTCCCCACCTCAGAAGTGACTGCTCTGTCCACAGGAGCTAGGATGAGTGGCAGGGCAGGGATAGTCAGATGGGTCTATGAAAGTATTGTGTGCACATTGATCCACAAATCTGATCACCAAGGGCAATTGCTCTCAAGAACCACAGCTTTGTATCTCCCAGCTCCATGTGGGAGCTGCTCTACATCCCACAACCCCTTCTGATCCCTAGGCATGCCCCTCCCCTTGACAACAACCTCATCAGCCTCCCCTTGAAGTCCACCATAGCTGACATGTCTCATCCTCTCTAGGGTCTCTGCCTGTTAGGAGGCTTGGTCCTCTGCCTGCCGTGGTCGATCCTGCACATGGTGTGCACAGTGAGCTCTGCATCTTGGGATAATGTAGGACATGTTCAAAGTCAAAGTTCAAAAGACTCATGCTGCACTTTCTGTGACTTAAGAAGTGAAGATACCTGGCATAAATAGACAGGAGTCACTTTCGAGGACCATTGTCTCAACTGGAAGGTTGATGCTCTGTTGAGCATAGGAACTACATAACCATCTTAAATATGTGTTTTCTGCAGCAAAGGTGACCACGGCAAATATTTCTAGTCTCTATAGGACCCATTGCAAAAGAACAGGCCATCCTTCACCTTTTACTTCATCTACCAGGCTCAATGATGTCAGGCAGAAATGGCAGGGAATAACCACACAGATGTAGCAGAGTTTGTCCTGCAGAGTTTCTCTGGAGACACTCAGCTCCAAGCTTTGCTCTTGACATTCTTCCTCCTCCTTTACCTCATGGCTCTTGCAGGAAATGCCCTCATCATCATGGCCATCAGCCTGAATCCTGGCCTCCACACGCCAATGTACTTCTTTCTGACAAACCTTGCCCTGTTAGACATCGTCTGCACATCTACTGTCCTCCCCAAACTGCTAGAGGGCCTGGTGGCCAAAGGCAGCACCATCTCCTACAGGGGCTGCATGGCCCAGCTCTTCTTCCTAACATGGTTTCTAGGGGCTGAGCTGCTGCTGCTTACAGCCATGGCCTATGACCGCTATGTGGCTATCTGCTGCCCACTGCACTATAGCACGAAGATGAGCCAGCCTGTCTGCATCCTGCTTGCAGGCAGTGTGTGGGTCATCAGTGCAGTCAGCACATCTGTGCACACGGGCCTGATGGCACAGCTTCATTTCTGTGGTCCCAATCAAATCCGTCACTTTCTGTGTGAAGTCCCCACACTGCTATTGCTGTCCTGCAGCTCAACCACCCTGAACAACATCATGATCGTCATTGCAGATGTTTATTTTGGTGTGGTCAACTTCCTCCTGACTATGGTATCCTACAGCTTCATCATCGCCAGCATCCTGCGCATCCGATCTATGGAAGGCAAGAGGCGTGCCTTCTCCACCTGTTCCTCCCACCTGCTGGTGGTCTGCATGTACTATTCCACAGTCATCTACACCTACATCCTCCCAGGTTCTGGCTCATCCATGGAAAATGGCAAGGTAGTTGCTTTGCTGTACACAGCAGTCAGCCCTACTCTGAACCCCCTCATCTACTCTCTGCGGAACAAGGATGTCAAAGTCGCCCTTAGGAAAGTATTTCCTTGCATCAAGTAAAGGAGAGGAAAGGAAATCTATGGATCATTCCAGGTATTAACCAGCTAATTTCAGCATATGTCATGGAGCCTTTGCAGGGGCAAGGAATAAGACACTAATTTATGTGATATACTTATTATTAATATGCTTTCCATGGAGCTACTAGAATTCCACGGCCTGATATTCATACATCCCGAGGCCTGAGGGTGGATGTTGTGAGGACTGCAGGCAGCAGGGAGCACGGGAGAGCCAGCAGGTAGTTGGAGAAGCAAGGCCAGCAGAGTCTTCTCATTTCTCCTTCCTCTGGTCCCACTCCTGTTCACCAGCTTGTGGACCCCAAGAGCAGTGCTGAAGCTTTCCCTGTGGGCTATCACTGTCCACTTTCTATTTCAGGATGGGGATATAAATATAAGTTCAGAGTGAATATCAGACCTGCCCATGCCTATGGCCAGGTGCAGCTTCTCTAAAAGGGGCGTCTCTCTATGTCCTGCTTTGTAGAAAATTATGTAGGCTCTGATGTGACACAGTCCTTTTGATGTGATTTGGGTGAGAACACAAGAAACACTGCTCTGCACTTTGTTTGTGATGAGTGATGCCAGCACCTCTAAAAGGAGCGAGTGTGCAATACAGCCTTCCATGCTAATGGCCTGTGGAAAAGATATTGTTTTTAATTTATCCATTTCAGGAAAGAGCAGCACACTCTCCAACCAGAAAGCCTTGCCATTATAGTAAAGTGGTTTCTGATTCCTTAGTTTTTACAGAAACTTCTGCAGGATTATTTTTGATGTTTTCTTTCCTTCTCACTATCCTTATTATTATTTGCCTTACCCACTGCTTCTGGCTTCTGAGTTCTGGTATTCATGTTTTCCTGAAAAACCATCTTTTCCTCTCTCTCCTCTCCTCTAGGCAACTTCTAGGCTGTGATAAACTCATATGAGTCATTCCTGTTTGGCGATGATATACAAAGGTTCATCTATCTCTGTGCCTCTCATCTCAATCCTAGCCCATCACTGTAGCTACCTAGCTAATGCTCAGCTAATACAGGGCCCTAAAAGTCCTCCAGGGTCCTAACCCAGCAGATATAAAGCTCCATGTTCACCTTTCAGATTTGTCTACTTGCAAAATTTTATTGACTTTTTTCCTAACTTCTACATCCAATTTATCCTAAAGCCTATCCATTTAATCCAAACATCTGTTAGATCTGACTCCCATCTCTCACCCTGCCCCTGTTGCCTTACTGGATACCCTGATACTTTCCACCCAGTCGCCTACATCCATTCTTGAGATGTGTTTTCTGCCCTATATCTAGAGTCATAATTTTCAAAATGCCTTTTTTTTGCTTAAATTCTTTTATTGGTAAATTTTAGGTGTACAATATGTTTACATTTATCACTGGGTGCTTGTATCTGTATATGATGTATCTTGGTTCTTATTTTTTCCCCATTACCTGTGTGCCTTTCATCCCTCCTCCCCTCCCTATTTACATACTTTGTTTCTATTTTCTTTTCTTTTCTCATAATTTTTCCTTTACATTCTTTCCTTTCCCCATCTCCTCCCACCACCCCTAACCCTTTGGACCTTTCCCTGTTTCAAAGTATCAATTATTAGTTATTAATCCTTTTAATCCTTATTTACACTCTCAGTTTCTCACACTAGAGAAACTATTGGTATTTACACATGTGTGTCTTATTTACTTCACTTAAGAGTATGGCCTCAATATGCATCCATTTAGCTATAAATGACTTGTTTCTCTTTCCTTATGGCTGAGTAGTACTCCATTTTATAAAAAAACTCACATTTTCTTTATCCAGTCTCCAGTTGATGGGCATGGATACACATATATCGCTGTGGTATGGTGCTTTTAATTCTTTTGGGAAAATATCCAGCAGGGGAATAGCTGGGTCAAATGGAATATCCAGCCCTAGTTCTTTGAGGTATCTCCACACTGATTTCAAGAGTGGTTGCACCAGTCTGCACTCCCACCAGCAATGGAGAAGGGTTCCTTTCTCTCCACACCCCTGTTGGCATTTTTTTATTGGTTGATTTCTTGATAGCAGCCACTCGTTCTGGGTTGAGGTGGAATCTCAGAGTTGTTTTCATCTGCATCTCTCGAATGACCAGTGATGTTGAACATTCTTTCATATGTTTATTTGTTGATTTTACTTCTTTTTTTTTATTAAATTCTTTTATTGGTACATTGTAGGTATATAACACAATTACATTTCTCACTGGGAATTGTACCTTTACATAATGCATCTTGGTTCTGATTTTTTCCCCATTCCTAGCCTTCCCTTCACCCCCTACACCCTTCCATATTTACAAAGACTTCATTTCCATTTTTTCCATTTCTCAGCATTTTTCCTTTCCCTTCTTTCCTTTCCCCTGCCCCTCCCACTACCACTAGCCCTTTGGACCTTTTCTTCCTATTTTGCATTATCGATTATTCTAATATTCTAATCATTAGTACATTTTAGGTGTACAATATAATGACATTCATCATTGGAAATTTGCACCTTTACATAGTCTCTCTTGGTTCTTATTTTTCTCCTTTGCCCAGCCTTCCCTTCAACCCCTCCATTCCTCCCTATTTACAAAGATTTTGTTCCTATTTTTCCATTTTCTCATATTAATCC